ATCTATCTACCTACCTACCTACCTACCTACCTACCTACCTACCTACCGTATCTATCTATCTATCTATCTATCTACCTACCTACCTACCTACCTACCTACCTACCTACCTATCCACCTATCTACCTCTCTCATCTAATTATTTACCTATCTATCATGTCATCTCTCTCTCTATGCGCGTGTGTGTATCTGTCCTTCTGCCTGCCTGCCTGCCTATCTCTCTCTCTATCTCTCTATTTCTCTCATCCGTTTGTCATCTATCTATCACATACTCAAAATAATAGAGAGGGAAGGGACCTTGGAGGTCTTCTAGTCCAACCCGCTGCTCAGACAGGAAACCATTTCAGACCAATGGTTATCCAATCTCTTCTTAAAAAATTCCAGTGTTGGAGCATTCGCAATTTCTGGAGGCAAGTTGTCCCACTGGTTAATTGTTCTCAGTGTCCGAAAATGCCTCCTTAATTCCAGGTTGCTTCTTCTCTCCTTGAGGAGTTTCCACCCATTGCTTCTTGTCCTGCCCTCAGGTGTTTTGGAGAATAGCTTGACTCCCTCTTCTTTGGGGCAGCCCCTGAGATATTGAAACTCTGCCATCATGCCCACCCCCCCAGTCCTTCTCTTCGATAGGGTAGACAAGGCAGAACTAGAAATCCCCATCTCCAGGTGATGGGGCGAAAGTTACCCAGCTGGCTTTCCTTCTTAAGGCAGGCTAGAACACACCGTCTCCTGGTTTCTAAGCCAGCACCATAACCACTGCACCAAATTAGCTCTCAGTATTGGGGTAACGTTGGTTGCCAACAAAACCCGGGGAGAAGACAATTCTGAAACCCTTCCTTCTTAGGTTGATGTGGCTGTTTTCTCTTTAGCTGGAGAACTTCATCCAGATGAACATCAAGACTGAGATGGCCCACATCCAGCAGAATGTGGTACAGAACCAGACGGCGGCCATATTGGAGATTGGCACCAATCTTTTGAGCCAAACAGCTGAGCAGACACGAAAACTGACCAATGTGGAAACCCAGGTGATTGATGACATGGATTGGGGCAGTTCGAGGTGGGGAAAATTAAACATATTTAGAAGGTACAAGGGGATTTAACTTTCAGCCGACTCTGCCTAGGAAGAAAAACTTGCCAAATACTCTCTTTGGATTTCTGGACTTTTGTTCTTGGAACTGGGTTTAAGAAAACAGAGTTCCTCTTATACCAAAACAAAACCACTTACCAGTTCTTCGCAGATATTGTATTTAAAATTTCACAGGAATAGAATCAAATAAAAAATTTATTAAGTGAGGAGGAGGAGGAGGAGGAGGAAGATTGTGGGGTCCATGGTGATCTCTGAACTTGCTTGTTTTTTGAGACATTTCATTACCGAGCTGGGTAACTTCATCAGCGTTTGAAAGGAGTGGTGTTTGCAGAAAGAAGGAAAAGGAGGAGGAGGAGGAGGGGAGGAGGAGGAAAATGAGAACTGTATGGTCCTTGGTGCTTTTGGAACTTGGTTGTTTTCTTGCAAATGTTTCACTACCAAACTAGACAACATCATCAGTATTAGAAGGAAGTGGGGTTTGCAGAGAGGAGGAGGAGGAGGAGGAGGAGAAGGAGGAGGAGGAGGACAACGACAACTGTGGAGCTTCCAGGAATTATCTAGCATTTTTGCCCTTGGCATGGTCTAAAATTCTACAATTACGGGAGTTCATCACATCATCTGACTGACAGTTGGTATTCATGTACATGCTTTGTCAGTCTTCTGCCTGTTTATCCTATCTAGAGACTAAAGGTCTATGGTGGTTCTCAGTCCTTCCACTCACGGTTGTCATCCCGAAGGTGCTTTTTCAGGAGGTAACCGGACTTTTCTTGGTTTTTTTTGTTTTTGTTTTTGAAGACGTTTTGCTTTTCATCAAATGGTGTGGGAGCATGAACAGATTTCCAATAAATAAATAAAGAAATAAATAAAAATGGCAGACTTACAGGAACCCTTTGCACCACTCAGGAACCCTTCGCACCTGAGGACACAGACAAACCTCCAAGTGGCCTCAACGTCTCTCTAAAAAGATGCAAATGACCAGCTGTCTGCAAGGAACATAAATCCTTCCTTTCCCCACCATCCACTCAGAGTTGAAAAAAACTTCTCAGATGAGAAGCAAAACGTCTTCAAAGGAAAAAGTGGAAAAACCTTCGGGACTACATAGGGACTGTTACAGTCCTTATACTGTCTCTTTTCAGCGTTCTAGAAAACCTCCACTCCAACAAATAACTCCGAGACAGACATCCTCCTCTCCAAGGTTCTTTTTATTTGAGTAGTAAACTGGCACATCTGGAAAATCCCAGATCTGAAAGTTGCGGGTTTCCTTGCAATAAGTAAAAAAAAAAAAATACGACAGGGAGCCGCAGCAGAGGGATGAAAGAGCCACATGCGGCTCTAGAGCCACGTGTTGCCGACCCCTGGTCCAGTCTTACGAAAAGAAGGACTAGGGTGACAGGATAGCAGTCTTCCAATATCTGAGGGGCTGCCCCAAAGAAGATGGGGAGTCGAGCTATTTTCCAAAGCACCAGAAGGCAGGAAAAAGAAGCAATGGGTGAAAACTAATCAGGGAGAGAAGCAACTTAGAACTAAGGAAAAATTTCCTGACAGTGAGAACAATTAATCAGCGGAACTGCTTGCCTCCAGAAGTTGTGAATGCTCCAACACTGGAAGTTTTAAAGAAGAGATTGGATAAAGATTTGTCTGACGTGGTGTAGGGTTTCCTGCTAAGCAGGGAGTTGGACTAGAAGACCTCTAAGGTCCCTTCCAACTCTGCTATTCTATTCTACTCCTGTTTTTTTTGCTGCTGGGGTTTTGCTGCTCTTCATGGTTGAGTCCATTCTGAGGCTGAACTCCATAAAGATAGTTTTCCTTCTCTCTGACTTGGCTCTGGCGCTGAAGAAGGACCGCAATTCCCTAGCTAAGTTTCCAACCCTGATCTTGGCTTTCTTTTTTTTTTTTTTTTTGTGCTCCACTGCTTAGGTGCTGAACCAAACCTCGCGCATTGAAATACAACTTCTGGAGAATTCCCTGTCCACCAACAAGTTGGAACGGCAGCTCCTGGTGCAAACCAGCGAGATTCACAAGCTCCAGGATCAGAACAGGTGAGCGGCTGGTGGAAGAAAGATAGGCGGTCCGTTCGTCGAGAGACAACGGCGCTGAGGAAAAAGTGATTGATGGCTGTCAGTCTTGTGACCCTTGCGGCATCCCCAGGGTCATGGAATCCCAGTTGGGGCACTTGGCAACTGACTCATGTTTATGACGGTTGCAGTGTCCCAAGGACACATGATTGCGAAACCTGTTGTCATGCCCCCGTCAGAGTCTGAATCCGAGGAGGAAGATGAACAGCCGACAGGGAGTGGGAGTGTGGCTCCCATTGGCTGTGGAGGAAACTGGAGAAGAGCACAGGCTGGCTGAGCAGAGCAGGGGAGAGGAAAAACAAGGGAGAGGAAGTTCAGAGGAAGACCCAGGCCCGCACCCCTCTTCATCTTAGGGCACGCAGGGAGGAACGGAGAAGGGAGCAATCTGGGTTGCATGGCTTACGGGGGAGGAAAGGGCCCTGATTCCCTTCATTAGGCACACCTGGGAAGAGAGTTTAAAAGAGATGCATGCGGAGTGCAGCAGTTTCTGGGAACAAACGTGAGTTTATCTCATGTTATGTGAGTTCCTGGCATCCTCCCAACTGGTTTGACTTACCACCGTGTTACTTCACTTCTGGAACTCCTTATCTTGTCCCTGCTGAATTTATTACCTTATTTTGCCTTGTTGGATTTATAATTTAAAGTTTTCTGTTTACAACATTGGGATTGGAATATCGGCAGCCAAAGGCTGTTGCAGGTTCGTGGGAGAGTTTTTTTTCTTCTCCAGACCGGAAGATAACCGGGACATTAAGGGTAAAGTTGGAGCTAATAAAGGGACCCAAGACATTCTCTGGCTTAGTTGCCCTTGTGCCACATCCTGGGTCATCACACCTGTGCATAAGCAAAGCCAGTGGGGAAGCCGGATTCAATTAACAACGGTGTTACTAATTTACAAGGTGCAGTGATTCACTTAACGGCTGTGGCACGAAAAGTCATAAAACAGGGTAAAATCCACTGAACAGCTCTGTGACTTAGTAACTAAAACTTTGGACTCGAGGACTATCTTGTAAGCTGCCCAAAGGTGAGAGATGTGGGAGGCAGGATAGCAGCCTTCCAATATTTGAGGGGCCGCCCCAAAGAAGAGGGGGGTCAAGCTATTCCCCAAAGCCCCTGAAGGCAGGACAAGAAACAACGGATGGAAACGAATCAAGGAGAGAAGCAACCTGGAACTAAGGCGAAACTTCCTAACAGGGAGCACAATTAACCAGTGGAACTGCTTGCCACCAGAAATGTGTATGGAGATTCTCAGTCATCCAGGTCATGGTTCTCCCAAAGGTGTTTTTTTAAAGAGACAACTGACTTCCTGGTTTTTTTTCTTTGAAGATGTTTTGTTTCTCATCCAAGAGCCAAAAAAACAAAACAAAAAACCCCCATCTTGGATGAGAAGCGAAACGTCTTCAAAGAAAAACCAGAAAGTCCAGCTGCCTCTTAAAAAAAAAAGAAGCTTTGGGACTTGTCTCCAGAAGTTGTTGGGGTTTCCATCACTGGAGGCTTTCAAGAAGAGACTGGACGGTCATTTGTCTGGAATAGTATAGGGTCTCCTGCTTGAGCAG